CCTGCTCCCCTCTGCCCCCCTCTGCTCATCTCCTTCCCCACACTGGCCCACAGGCTCGGTGCCCGCAGCCTGCCCACTCCTCCATCCCTGCCATTGAGGACCCAGGGGATGGTGGGCATGGTGTGGGATGTTGGGGTACGGTGGTCCCTTTAGCCCCCCCCAGCCTTCCCGGAGCATCCCTGGCTGCTGTGGGGGCAGGAATGTTGGCCCTCAGGCTGCCGTTTACCAGGAGCCCTGCACTGAGGTTTCCTCACAGCCAAGAGGTTACCAGAAAGCCCACCAGCCCGACCAAACTCTGGGCTGTTTCCCGTCAGTCTCATCATGGAATTATAGAATAGTTTGGGTTGGAAGCGACCTTTAAAGATCATCCAGTCCAACCCCCCTGCCATGGAAAGGGACATCTGACACAAGATCAGGTTGCTCAGAGCCCCGTCCAACCCAACCTGGAATGTTTCAACCACTTCTCTGGGCAGCCTGGGGTTTCACAACTCTCAATGTAAAAAAAATCCTTATATATCTAGTCTAAATATTCCCTCCCTTTGTTTAAAGCCATTACCCCTTGTCCTGTAACAACAGGCCCAGCTAAAAAGTTTGTCCCCATCTTTCCTGGAGCACCTTTAGGGACTGGAAGGAGCCTAAGATCTCCCCGGAGTCTTCTCCAGGCTGAACAACCCCAGCTCTCTCAGCCTCTCTTCATAGGAGAGGGGGTCCAGTCCTCTGATCATCTTCATGGCCTCCTCTGGAGCTACTCCAACAGGCCCACGTCTTTCCTGTGCTGAAGACTCCAGAGCTAGACATAATTAAAAAAAAAAACCACCACCAAAACACAAAAACTCTCACTTCCACTAAGCTCCAGTCTGGTGGGTAAATCTGGGAATGGGGTGCTGGGGGCTCTGCTCCCACCCATGCTTGGGGAGACCCGGCTAACCCCATGGTGGGTGCAGCACCGTGCTTTGGAGCCCCAGGGTGCAGGGATGTCTGAAAATAAACGCTGTGTAGGTGCCAAGCAAGCTCCCCCAGTGATCACTAACCACGATAATAATGCCTTGTTAAATGAGACATGGTCCTTTCCAGCCAGGCAGTGGGAGAAGTGGGGGCAGCAAGGGAAAACTGGGTTGAAATCTGCTCCTGGATGTGCCACCAACCTGCTATTTTATTGACACCAGACCCCAGGGTGTCTTTTCCCCCTTATCCACCCTCTCTGCAGGCAGGGAGCTCCTGGGCTTTTCTCTCCCTGCGTGTGCACTGCTACAGGGAGGCGGATTTGGGTTTGGGCTTGGGCTGCAATGTAATGCCATAATCAGGGGCTGCTGCATTTTTGGGCAGGGACCTTGTCCAAGTTGCATTTTTCCTGCTGTCACGTGCTCCATTCATCTCTGGCACTGGATAAACAATACCATAATACCAGGCAGGACGAAGCAGGGAAGCTGCTTCCTCAGGCAAGCCCCAGCATTTGCCTGCTGCTGCTTTTAGGCTGTACATTCTCCTGGTCAGCCCATGAACCACGGCCCTGGGCTAGAAATGCTCGCAGAGGCTGTGGGGTTTGCTTTTGCACGGCACTGCCCATGTCTGGGGGGAGAGACCTACGCTGCCAAAGAAGCCTCCCATAATAAAAGAAAAAAAAAAAAAAAAAGCAGTTAGACCATACAAACACAGGAACCGAATCCCACACTCCCCACTTCCCGCTATTGCTGCAGCCTTCCAGTCTCAATTTGCTTTTCTTTTTTCTTTTTTTTTTTTTTTTTGGGCGCCCTTTGTCTCCCACCCGATGGCACAGCCACCGCCGCTCGAGAGGCAGCTGAAAAGCCCCATCGGCAAAAACCCTGAATGAAGAAAGAGCCCTTTTCTCCGGGAGCTGAGAGGGGAGGAAAGGCATTTTCCCCCCGACCAGCTGCTCTCCTGCTCCCTCAGCCCCGTGCTGGCCGGGGACACGCGCCGTGGCCAGATGTTGGGGTCCCGGCCGGCGCCGCGGGGCGAGGGACAATGCGGGCTCTGTGTGCTGCCTGTCCCCGAGCCATGCAGCAGGGTCTGCTGAGCCACGGTGCCACCACCAGCACCAGCACAAGGGCTCTGCTGGCCCCCCAGCACTGCCATATCCCCTTTCCCGAGGCTGGCATTGGGCTCACGTGGCCACCTGAGCTCGCTGAGCCTCGGTGGCAAGGGGAAGCCATTCTTTCGGTGGCATTGTCCCACTGGAGCAAGACTCCCTAGGGATTGTCCAACAGGTTTCCTCTCCAGGCGCCTGGCCTCCTGGCTCGACCCTCGCCCGCCACGTGGATGTCCCCAGTGAGGCACCGTCCCCCCAGGGACATAGTGATGGGGTGAGTGGTCACCCCCTTGGTGGGTCAGGGTGGTACCCGAGGGGCAGGGAGCAGGAGGATGCTGCCAGGAGGATGCTCTCGGGAATGCTCGTTGGCATTCGGCCACTCTTCTGGGTACAAAGCACCTAACCCTAACCAGGGTGGCCCCACTGCCAGAAAAATCTGGGTACCCCATAAATACAAGAGCCAGGGGAGAGGGACGGTCCCATCTGCTCTGCAGGAGGGATGCCAGGGCTGGACTGGGAGGGCCATCTCTCTTCTTCCTCCAAAAGGGATCCCATTTTGGACAAGGACCATAACTCACCCCACTGAGATGTCACAGGGTGAGCCCGGCTGTGGCGTAGCAACCTGCTCCCCACTCTGCCCAGCCCCACAGGGATGGGTCCAAGCCAGAATCCACTGCCCAAGTGCCCTGCATCTCAGGGATATGCCCTTTGCTGTAACCCCACCAGCTCATTCCTACTGCAAATTAACCTCACCGAAACCCCACGCTGGTTTTTCACTGGAACTGGCTGGATTCAGGGGCTGGGGCTGCACATGAGGCATCTCCCTTTCAGCCCTACTGCGGTATTAGCTCTCTTTAAATTGGTTTAAACCCTCCGCATCGCCCCGGCTCGCAGCCTGACCCCGCCACTCGATAGGTGGTCCCTAAGAGGCTCCCAGGTTCTCAGGGCTGCTAAAAAAAAAAAAAAAAACGGTTAATAAATCCCCAGGAATAAAGTGTTGGGGTCATCCCGGAGAAACGCCGCGCTGGGGCTGCAAAGCTGCATTGTCCACCCCAAACGATTTAAGTGCTCCGTCGGACAGGGGTTAAAAGCTCTGTTGGGTGCCCACTTGGCCGTTGCCTTCGTTTTGGGGTGGGTGTTTGATGGGGTCCAGCCCCGACGTGCAGCCCCGACGGCACGGCCGAGGTGTGCGAGGGGGGAGGATGGAGGAGGACGGAGCCTCCCCGCCGTCCCCCTCCCACCCACTCCCCCCGGCTTTTTTCTTTCTGGGATTTTCTGAGAGCACAAAAGAGACTTTGCATCAATTACGGGGAGGAAAGCGGCAGCGCCCCGCGGCAGACTTCTGCGCTCCCCGGGCCCGGGTTTGGTTAACTTCCCATTGTCTGCTGGGCTGTGCTATTCAGGGCCAGTTCGAGGCTTCATTTTTTATACCTATTGGATTTTTTTAACCACCCCGGGACCACAAAACCTTCCTGCTCTTGTAGCAGAGGGTCCAGCATCGCCGTCAGGGTGGCTGCAGAGAGCGGAGCATCTCGGTGTCTCTGCCCAGCACCCAAACCTTCTACCAGGGGTGCTCACCCTGCATCTCCTGATGCTGAATCTTCCCCATCCTCATCGTCACCGGCTCTGGGACCTCTCTGTATCACTGCAAACCCTCCGGGGCTGCAGACCCTCCATCGCTTTCCCCCTCCACCTCGGGGGGACTGCGAGTCCCCTCGGTGGGGCTGGGGAGGGGGACAACGCTTCGATTTGGGGCAGGGGCACTTTGAGATCCCACGGGGCCGGGGGGTGGCAGAGGAGGGGGGGGGGCTATAGAAATGCAAAGCGTTATTATTTTCCCGGGGCTGAAGCAGAGGCCTGAGAAAGGTTGAGGGAGAGAGGCAGCGAGCGGGGAACAGCGGGGGATTTAGCTCCTGAAAAGGAGCCGGGGAGGGGGGGAAAAAAAGCGGGCGAAGAGCTGCTGCACCTCCTGATGCTGAATCTTCCCCATCCTCATCATCACCGGCTCTGGGACCTCTCTGTATCACTGCAAACCCTCCGGGGCTGCAGACCCTCCATCGCTTTCCCCCTCCACCTCGGGGGGACTGCGAGTCCCCTCGGTGGGGCTGGGGAGGGGGACAACGCTTCGATTTGGGGCAGGGGCACTTTGAGATCCCACGGGGCCGGGGGGTGGCAGAGGAGGGGGGGGGGCTATAGAAATGCAAAGCGTTATTATTTTCCCGGGGCTGAAGCAGAGGCCTGAGAAAGGTTGAGGGAGAGAGGCAGCGAGCGGGGAACAGCGGGGGATTTAGCTCCTGAAAAGGAGCCGGGGAGGGGGGGAAAAAAAGCGGGCGAAGAGCTTCATTGTGCGCTGGGCAGAGGGGGTCACGAGCAAGTTAAACTGGTTAATGTATTGGAGCAGCTTCCTCCGGGCTGCAGGGAGCGAGGCAAAGCCCTGCAAC